CAGCAATGACTGTTTATTGTTTACACACACACACACACACACACACACACACACACATTTTAATCTTTGTAAGCCGCCCAGAGTCACTTAGAGTGTACATTTTCTTAAATAAATAAATATTTTACTGGTTTTTTTAAAATTAATTTTTATTTATTTACAAACATACAAAATACACAGACACCAAACTTAGACACACACTACATTTACACAATACAGTACAAACAGGAACTTCCTGTTCTTTCTAATAGCAATTTCAAATCGATACAATTCTCCTTATGTTATTTCCCCTTTAATATATTTCATTTGCGTCTCACCATTTTAACCCACTTATTTTACTCATCTATCTGCTATATTGGGTAATTACCTCTAATAAATTTAAACCATTTTTCCCATATCTGGTAATATTCTGTTTCTTCTTTTCCCTGGATTTCTTTTATTAATTTGTCCATTTCGGCATAGTCCATAACCTTTCTTATTATTTCATCTTAGCTTGGTATTAATTTATTTTTCCATTTAAAAAAGAATTTTTTAAAGTTATATAAGAGGCTCCATAGGAAATTTAGCATAACAGAATTGATTTGAAGTATCCAGTATTCACACACATGAGATTAAAACTTTGTTAAGGAAATGTTATTTTCAGTAAACTAAGATCCTAGGTAGGAAGGCCATCTGAGAAAGCACGGACTGCTGGATTGTGTCAGCACATGCAGAAAGCTGTTGTTTCAAGACTGGCTTTATTGTACAGCTAGTTTCTGAATTTTTCAAAGCAGGGCAAAATTGTAGGCTTTGGACAAAACGTTTTGTACATTCTTCAGCCAATTCGCTTTGTGAGTTACTACTGTAACTCACAAAGTGAATTGGCTGAAGAGAATACAGAAGGGCATAGAAATCTGCTCTGCAATTCTACCATTGCTGGATTGGTAATAGCAGGAAGCCAGGCCCCCTCGGTACAGTGCATCAGCTACACGCAAAGCTAAATGTTAAGAAAAAAAAAAACTGGAGGAAGGCAGCAGACCGAGATTAGCCTTTATTTAATTTAACATTTGGGGGTCCAATGCACAAATGAGCATTTTAGTAGGCTTCATGGTGGAAGTTGCTGTCATTTGTAAAATATTCTGGCCAATTAGCTAATAGTGTGCTTAGATTTCTCCCGTTTTGATACAGTAATACTAAGTACATTGTGAAGCCCAATTATACAAATCATCCCCATATGCCGAACTGGTCTTGCTTTTATGAACTGTGTTTATAAATCCTGTGTGAGGAAATGTGTACTTCAGCAATTTAGACCATGTGTAAAAACATAGCCAATCGGATTGTCAAGAAAAGGAGCCCTGGCATTGGAAGTCCTAATGCGTTCCACTAAAATAGTAGGAGTGTGTCGTATCATGCAAGCTTTCTGATTAAATGCATATTATTTCATAGTCTTTAACCAATTGAGGTGCTTCTGTTCCTATTTTAACTTGGTTCATTTTATGTCAGTCATTCTCTTTCCCCAACCCAGAGTCTTTCTATTCCTCCTTTTCTCTCAGCTGTTTTTTTGGTTTGCTTATTTGTTTATCCAGGATCCAACGTTGGAGTTTCTGAGAAAATTTGCAATTGGGCTAGCCTCAGGAACAATAGCCTCAATTATTAACATCCCTTTTGATGTTGCAAAGAGTAGGATTCAAGGACCACAACCTGTGCCTGGAGAAATCAAGTACAGGACCTGTTTTAAAACGATGGCAACCGTTTATAAAGAAGAAGGGTAAAGTATTCATTTCAGTAGTAAATATTCAGAATCTGGCTTGTTCATAAAATCATATTGGAGATTTGTAATATGCAACATTTCAGATTTCATTAGGTAAAGTTAAAGGTTCTCCTCGCACATATGTGCTAGTTGTTCCCGACTCTAGGGGGCGGTGTGCACCTCCATATCAAAGTTGAAGAGCCAGCACTGTCCGAAGACGTCTCCATGGTCATGTGGCCGGAATGACTAAATGCCGAAGACGCACAGAACTGTATTATTTCCCACCAAAAATGGTTCCTATTTTTTCTACTTGCATTTTCCCATGCTTTTTAACTGCTAGGTTGGCAGAAGCTGGGACAAGTAATGGAAGCTCACACCGTTCTGCAGTACTAGGGATTCAAACCGCCAAACTGCCAACCTTTCTGATTGAAAAGCTCAGCGCCCTAGCCACTGAGCCGCCGCGTCCCTGCAGATTTCATTAGGTCCCTAAAAACTCTCTGCATAATATTTTTATATCAAACATTTTCAAAGCTTCACAATTCAAAATGTATATATTTTTCTTTAGCCTGAGTTTTCTGAATTTTCATTTAACACATTTTTTATTACATTGTTCTGAAAAGACTCTAGTGTTCTACAGCAGACCATTCAGTTTATGCGCCTTAGTATCAATTGGTGAATTGGGACAAGGGTGGTCTTTTTTTTTTCAACATCAATTTTGCTTGCCCAAATTGAGATGGAGGAAAAACAGCTTGTCAACATCTTTGGAAATGGAGAAAAGCTTACAGAGATTTCTGCAAACTCTCTCTGCAAAGAGGGATAGTGGAGGCCATGTTACAAGAAGGTTTGATTTTAAGCAGAACTAGAGGTCACAATGAAAATTGTAGATTGAAAAAATCCTGATTATATCTGGATCCAAACTATATAGACTGAACAGAAAAAGCTGCTTCATATATCAAAAAGGGTATTGCATCAGACTCATCCTAAGGATTACTTCACTCTTCCTCCCACTTTTCTAAATTTCTGCAAAAATGTTTAGTAAATATTCTACCCTAGCCTATATTGGAATGAGAATGCATCATCTGCTTGTTTAATGAACTGGTATACAATTGATCTGGGACATGATCTTAGTGTATTCATGGCATCAATATAGCACCAGGATTCCAAACTTCATGTATGCAAATAGTCTAAAGTGAGAACTCAGTCACAACATAGTTAAAGGAGAGCTATTAGGATTGTACATGTTACAGAAAGGATAGAAAAAAATGCTTTCAACCTTGCATGAAGACAACACTTCTCTACTATTTACTAAAATATTCTGTCAGGAATTCAGTATCTGTTGTCTTTTCAAAGAACCACATATGCTAGCTAAGTCTAAATTTTGTTACAACAGACTGATGGGCTCTTAAGAAAAGCCGATCAATGTAACTGACACTTTTCATCGTTTTTCTTCAGATTTCTAGCTTTGTACAAAGGCTTGGTTCCCAAGATCATGAGGCTAGGACCAGGTAATTCTTTTCTCATTCACTATTAATCCTATCATAATTCTATGTATATACAGTAGTACCTTAATACTCAACTGCTTTGAAACTCATCAAATTTGATACTTAACCCATTTTGACACGAAAAATGTGTCCCGGTACTCATCTTTTTTTTTTATTCAATGCACCAGGTTCAACTTGTCGATGTCAGCTGCTTTATTGACCACAACATTATTCCTTATGGGAAAAATGTGTTTCCACCCCAGCCCTTTGGAACATATACCCAAGATTGGGTGCCTGAATACACCCTTCCAAAATGTGGACCTCCCTCCAAATAGATGGATTCTCAGGGCTTCCTAGCCAACATGGCCATTTATAAAGGTTCAAATCCACACATTTGAAAGGCACATAGTTGGAGAAGATTGTCTTAGTAAAAATATTAACATGGATATATTTATCTGATCCTGAATTTTTAAAATTGGTTCAGATGTTATTTGTTTACTCATTTTGTATACAGATAGTCCTTAATTAGGACCAGAAGCTGCATCATTGGGTGATGTGGTCATAAGTTAAAAAAACAACAACACATGACTGCACCACTTAACAACAGTTCCAGAAGTCTCCACTGCCAGTGAGCGAGGACCATTAAACAAGGCCCTTATGTGACTTTTACTAGCAACTTCCTACCAGCTTCCCTATTTACTTTGCTTATCAGAAGCCAGCAAAGAAGGTTGCAACTCACAATCTTAAAGTCACAAACTTAGAAAGTAAAGTTCTATATTTAGGCAAGAAAAACACAATGCACAGATACAGTATACAGTATATACAGTGGTACCTTGTTCAATAGTAGTAACTGTGAGAGGGATCTTGGAGTCCTAGTGGACAATCACTTAAACGTGAGCCACCAGTGTGCTGCAGCTGCAAAAAAAGCCAACACAGTTCTAGGCTGCATAAACAGAAGGATAGAATCAAGATCATGTGAAGTGTTGATACCACTTTATAATGCCTTGGTAAGGCCACACTTGCAATATTCTATCCAATTTTGGTCACCACAATGTAGAAAAGATGTGGAGACTCTAGAAAGAGTGTAGAGAAGAGTAACAAAGATGATTAGGGGACTTGAAGATAAAACATATGAAGAACAGTTGCTGGAATTGGGTATGTCTAGTTTAATGAAAATAAGGACTAGGGGAGACACGATAGCAGTGTTCCAATATCTCAGGGGTTGCCACAAAGAAGAGGGAGTCAAACTATTCTCCAAAGCACCTGAGGGTAGAACAAGAAGCAATGGGTGGAAACTAAACAAGGAGAGAAACAACCTAGAACTAAGGAGAAATTTCCTGACAGTTAGAACAATTAATCAGTGGAACAGCTTGCCTCCAGAAGTTTTAAATGCTCCAACACTGAAAATATTTAAGAAGAGATTAGATAACCATTTGTCTGAAGTAGTGTAGGGTTTCCTGCCTAAGCAGGGGGTTGGGCTAGAAGAGCTCTAAGGTCCCTTCCAACTCTGTCATTCTATTCTATCATGTGACTGAGGGATTCGGTAACAACCGTAACTGCAAGGAACTGTTATAACCACCACTCATTCAGTGCCATCATGAATTCAAACAGCTGCTGTACGAGTGGTCATTAAAGAAGGACACTTTGCTCCCCAGATTATGCATTATTAGCATGTGAAGTTTAAACCAGAACCAGCAAAATTTATTTCATTTATTTATCTGATATGAATATTCCTATGTTGGTTGACCACTGCGGTCATTAGATTAGATCAGATTACATAATGGAAACTGGAATTATCTTCCAAGGATAATAAACTTCCAGTTTACTTTGTCTTTAATCAGCTTTGATGAAGACCACAAGGAAACTATTACCACCTTCTAAATAAACACAGAATGTTTTTGTCTTTGTGTTGGCTTACTCACTAGCTAATGAACATCATATACAAAGGCATACAAAGGCATAATCTCAAAAAAATCTGTCAAGAGTGTTTCATTTGAAATACCTATTAGAGGTGATGTGTACAAAATAGTTTCTCCCAATATTTTTACAATAGAGATTCCCTTTATTAAAAGTTTATTCTACCCAGGAAGTAACTAATAGATGTACCTAACTTTTCCCATGAGATAAATTCACCCAGTCTGTTGTAAAGTGACAGCTGGATGAACTTGGCTTTAGACTCAGTGAATACATTTATGCTCTGGATTTAAGAAAGCTTTGCTGCATTTGGATGGCTTCTCCCTCATAGTACATACACATTGTGTGTATACTACATATTGTGTGTATACAAAGTTCTGCACCAAAATGTGGTATGTGTAGAACTGAAAGAAAAAAATATGAAAACCTATTTGATTTTCCATCACAAATATTCATGAGTCAAGTAAGCATAGAAAATTTTGTATTATAGTTTTTAAAACATTATATAATCTAATGTTCTGCATTTGTTTAATGTTCTCATTAAACAAATTCCCATCAAGCTGCCAGCTTCTGCAAGACCCAAACATTACTTTGTTTTCAAATAATTTCAACTGATTGGTATAGAAAAGTCATAATTCCTTCCATCATGTGTTACTTCTTAAATGTTGTACTTCAAAACATTCTTTCTTTCTAGGTGGTGCAGTGATGCTGCTGGTTTATGAATATGTTTACGGGTGGCTTCAAGAAAACTGGTGACCAAAAGTACTAATTTCAGGCTGAAAATAATGTAAAACAATTCCTATCAATTTTTTTAAAATGTGTGCATCCCTATTTATAGGCTTAGAAAAGAAGGGATAATTGTACAATGGTGGAAAATGAATGCCCTTGGTTATTGAAGGCGAGTAGTAGTAAATATTCTTTAGGGAAAAAAGATGATATATTTCAACCCAGATACCTATCCCATTAAGTATTTTAAAAGAATATAATGTATGTATGTCAAGCAAATTAAAAGTGTTAATTTGAACTCTCTCTCCTTGGCTCATTGATTGAACAAATCTGTTGTTGAAGATGCCTGCCTAAAAACCAGAAGACTGTAAGTTCTAGTCTCACCTTAAGGCTAAAAACCAGCTAGGTGACATTATGCCAGTCACTCTCTCTCAACCAATTCATTTCATAGGGTTATTGTTATGGAGAAAAATAGGAAGAGAAAGGAGTATTAGTATATTACTAGTATATTACTAACCCTGAGTTCTTTATAAAAATAAAAAGGCAGGGTATAAATAAATAAACATTATAAAGTTGTTATAAATTGAGATCTTAATTTTAGAGTCCAGTCTTATATTTAGATTCCTGAATCTGGTGAAGAGGAGAGTTAAACTCAGAATTGAGTACCACTAAATTTAATTGGAGTTGCTATCATGTTTGATGAAGTGAACAACTCATGATATCTGGGCTATCAGATCTGGGCTTCAAAAATCCAGATGACCACTAAATAGCACCAAATAGTTGGATGGAGTTGTACTTCGATCAAGTACCTGTAACTCTATTACTGATTGTATTATTAAGTATGCCCTCCTTACAGATGATTGTGTTACATGTTGCTTGGAGCTGCTATTGAAAATTACTCTAAAAATTGAGCTGATAAAATAAATTAATGATTCCCATCCTTCTTGAAGCTGGACAGTCAAATGAAGTATTGTATTCCATTCATTCTGCATCAACTGGGCTCCTTGTCAGTTCATGTTTTACTCAAGTTGAAATACTTTGGTGCTTTAAAACTCCAAACAACATTATCATTTGGCATTTTAAAATTATTTTTGAAATACCTACTTACTGGCCCACCATTATGGCCTTTAAAGTAACAGACATTAGAGACAGGTCCTTGTTAGTGGTAGCCCCTACCCTTCAGGTTTCCTCTGTAAAGAGCACAGTCTGGCTATGAAAACGATTCTACTTTTCTATGGCTTCTGGTTTTAAGGTTTTTAATATTTGCTCTCATCAAATATTTGAAACTGCATTTTGTTTTCCATGTAAGATATCTCTATCATTTGATACTTCATATTATTGGTTTATAATGCAAACTGTATTCAAAAGACTATAATGCCAAAAGATGGCTATGAAATATAGGTTTTAAAAACTATTTCTCAAAATTTCAAAGAAAAGTGAGATAATTGAATTATTTTTTTTAAAAAAATATTTTTATAATGATGTTTGAGGCATGTTATGTGCAAGACAGATGGAGACATTTTAGCATTTTTAAAGATATTTGTGTTGACATAATCATGTAAAAAATTTGCCTAGATTATATTACACTGGCTTTTTAAAAATATTCGTAAGTAGTTGATGTCAACAAAATGTTTTGTTATGTAGTAAATGTTTCCAATGCAGAAATTAAAAGTCTTCAGATGAAATCTGATATTTCTCTATTTTGTTGTTGTTGTTGTTGTTAATTTAGCATGTTCAAAATTCAAAAATAAAATACATGTACATACATAGCTTTTTGCTGTACTTTCTTTCCAACATGTCTTTAAGTATATTTTCAACCTCATATTTCAGTAGGATAAAATCATTTGATAGTAACCTCAACCCCAAATAAATGTTACTTTTAATGACTAGAAAGACTTGCTTTTCTTTCTGGGCCTATAACCTTTGCAGAATGTGATAGAAAAACATGATTAATATTAACCATGCTGTTTAGATTTAAATCTAACTTCTTTCAGTGGGATGACTTTTTAATATAATAATTTTATTAGAAATTACAATTAAAAAATAAAAAATGCAAACTAAAAGAAATTTAAAAATTAAATAAAAATACTGCAGAAAATAAAAATAAAGAATAAGGATATAATAAAGAAAAAGAAAAGCCAACAAGTATTATAATCATCTAAACAAGTATAAATTTTTTAGTAACTTGCAGTATCTTCATTTTTAAAATACAATAAATGATCTTGTCTTCCCATATTAGATCTCTTATCTCTTTAAGTAGTCCTTGACTTGCAACAGTTCGTTTAGTAACTGTTCAAAGTTACAACAGCACTAAAGAAAAGTGGCTTTTGACCACTTTTCACACTTATGACTATTGCAGCACCCCAAGGTCATGTGATTTGCATTCAGCTGCTTGACCACTGACTCACATTTATAACCGTTGCAGTGTCCTGGAGTCATGCGGTTCCCCTTTTGCGACCTTCCAACAAGTACAGTCAACGAGAAATCAGTTTCACTTAACAATCATGTTACTAATGTAACAACTGCAGCAATTCACTTAACAAATGTGGCAAGAAAAGTCATAAAATGGGATAAAACTCAACAAATTTCTCACTTAACAACATACATTTTGGGCTCAATTGTGGTTATAAGTTGAGGACTACATGTAAACAAATCTTTAACACCTTATTCTTCAGTACTGGTCAGCAAATGTGCATTAAGGATTACTAGAGAATAACACATCTACTGTATCCTTGATCAACTAAAGCAACTTTATATTCATTCCTCTTGCTTTTAACAATCTTGATCTTTAATCATTTCAAATATTATTTTAATGTCCCAGAACTTGATTTCTTTTCATTTCTTTGTTCTTTCCCACAATTTTTTTCAAAGCTTTAACCATTCTCTTTTGTATATCCAATATAGGAAAATTACCAAGGTCACTCTCTTGGTTTGTTATTTGTATATCCCTTTAATTATTAGGACATCAGCTGGCTTTTTTTATATCTACCAGTAACATGACATCTTTTTCCACATTATTCTTGTAGCTTATCATTTTTAAATCCACTTTCAATCAGTTTCATTTTTGTCCAGTAAATAATATTCCTGTTTTATTACATCTTTAAACTGTAACAGCAAACACTATTAACATTAACTTCATTATAGCCAGTGTTAAGATATTTTTCCATTCTGTATCAATAAACCAATTTAAGTGTTCGTCTCCTTTAATTGTAATCTTTAGCTCCAAATTCTTATTTCAAATCTATCTGCACCCTTAGTCCATTTGTATCTTTCCAAAATCAAAGTTCTAACTACCCTTTCGCTGCTTATTCCAAACTTGTATTTAAACTTGTATTTAAAGTTTCTTTTGCTAACGATTGAAGGACACTTACCTGGAGCTATAAAAGCTGTCAATTCAAAGATTCCTATAGAGTCTGTAAAAATAAGAACCATAGTTTGAGCAAAGATGATTTTCTCTCATCTTCCACAGCTCCAAATTGACAAGAGACTTTTGTTTTGCAATATCCTTGCAAGAAACAACTGTATGGAACATTTGTGGGCAATTTCAAGTCCATTCCTTGTCCTAAAAGGGATTACAAAGAGCCAGTCCACTTGCCAGCTCTTTAATCTGTCATGGTCATTGAATCCAGTTTGAATGAAATCATCTTCAGTTCACCATTTCTTCCCCAGAAATCCCTTTCAACAGGATTTCCAAGTCAGCATCCCAATCAACGTCATATATTTTGTGGTTTACTTCTATGTGTAGGCACAGGTGAGATTGCACTGTTATATCACTTTTTTTTTTCAAATATCCAAAATGTGCAGGCGCATGCTTTTGCTACATGAATCACTTGTCTTTATGTTTGAATATGAAACTAGATTTAATATTTTCAATTATAACAGAAGAAAGAGAGCTCAGTGGTCTAACACTTGCATAGACTGTAGAATTCTGCAAGTCTAAACACTGGAGTCTGCAGCAAGTAATAGACATGACCACTGGCTACATGAAGCCCCGAAAAATTTTTGGCTAGCCAAAGAAAACAGTTCTGTGGCTAGTACTTAACCCTAATAGCTGAAGGTTTCCAGCTGAACATCTGCCTTGCCCTATAGTCAACAGAGAGAACTTCAGGCTCAAGATGATTGATACTATAAAGCAGTACTCACTCAACACCATGGGTTACTTGTGCGTGTCTAGTCTTGTTAAGATGAACAAAATGGACCATTATGACATAATAGCTACAGCATGAAGTGTTTACATTTAAAGAGAAGAAACGAATTCTTGAGGGATCATTTGAGAGGCCTTCGTGATACAGGAGCTTGTGAGAAATTCAGATTTGCAGCACTGACATTTGGTGCATGGGCAAAAATTGCTCTAAGAGAAATTTTGTTGGTTACGTTTTACTGGGAAGCAGGAATTATTTCAATTCAAGAAAGCTCACTCTCAAGTGGGTTGCAAACAGCTGTAGCCCAACTCCAGAGTAATTCTAAAGGTGCTTTTTCAAGAGGCAACTGGACTTTCTGGGTTGTTGGGGTTTTTTGAAGACATTTTGCTTCTCGCCCAAGAAGCTTTTTCAGTTTGAAGAAGAAGCTGAAGAAGCTTCTTGGATGAGAAGTGAAACATCTTCAAAGAAAAACCAGAAAGTCCAGTTGCCTCTTGAAAAAGCACCTTTGAGACAACTAAGATCTGGATGATTGAGAATCTCCAAAGACATTCAACTCCAGAGTACTAATGAAAACAAATATTCTTCTGAATGAAGTCTGTAATTGAAGGGATTGGTGAGCTTCAGGGTAGCAGTGCTTTTATTTGATTAAGGATTCCACAAAAGGACACCATATATTACAAGCAAATGGATTTCCTTCGGGCCTTACAAATAAGCTGGCTTTACTTTCTGGTCAACTAGTTCTAGTAATAGCAGTACTTAAAAACAAAACAGGAGCCTGAAAACAATCTGATACCAATTATAGTTTATGAATGTTCTCTTTTCAATCTATGATTAAATGATTGCAAAATGAAAATATTGTGCAGCATTTTCCAGGAAGCCTCAATATGACATCACACATTATTTCCCTTGAATTGCCTTAGAAATCGACCTTTGTTGACTGTTTAGAAATAAAAACATGATATTCTCAGAAAAGAGACAGGATCTTATCTTATTCTCCCAGCAGTATGTTTATGCGTAATATGGCCAGGAAGAAATGTAGATAATTTTATTAAGCAGTCTTTCAAAATCTGTATTGAGCGACGTGTTTTTACATTATTGCACTAGACTTACAAAAGTACATAATATATTAATATTTAATCATGCTAGGAGATATGTCGATTTTCAAATCTTTCCTTCTCATGGTTATCTTCAACACACAATGGCAAGCTTGAGCAGGCTTTCCAAAACTATATTCACAACTTTATTATTGTCCAAGGAGAACAGACCATCTTGAAAAGATTATACTGGGGGGAAAAAATATAAGAGAGCAATTGGAATCCAAGTGACCATGAAATGATGCTTGATAAAGGATACAGAAATGAAAAAGAGGAATATTGTTAACATTATAAATAATATCTGTAGTACCACCACCAATATGTCTATGAATGAAACATGCTTATGTACAATAATGTAAACTTTACCAAAAGCCTAGTTTTGTTTTACATTCAATAAAACAGGAAGTGTAGACATTTTTTCTTTGTTTACTTTTCAAAATGGCAACATCACTAGGGAGGCTGGGGCTGGAATTACTGAACTCAGCTAAGCAAAGAAATTACAGTACAATTGGCTTTCACAGTGGTTACTTGTATCATAATTCACCCACTTTCTGCCTAAGCACCCAATAAAAGGAATTGGAGGCAAAACTCTTATTATGGATTGGCTTATTGGCTTACTAAAAAAATCCCCACCCACAATTTCATATTAAAGAGACGGGATAACTTCCCATTTTGTTTAGGTTTTTTTCCCTATCGTTTTTCTTTCATGTCAGTGATGCTACGCTATTATGAATGTAGGTGATTAAATACCATATGGAAAATGTTTTTTCTATACAGTACACCCAGAAAAACCAATCACTTTCAAATGCCACTGAAATAAATGTATTGATATACTAGTAAGTAAATGTTGATCATAGGATGCTTCTGCGGAAGAAAAAGGGGAACATTAACTTTGCTGATTCTACCTCTTCCTATAATTTATTTATCTCTTGAAAGGCTGGGAGAGTCTACTGAACAGAATAAAAGGGGTGATTGTGGTTTAATTTGTGTTGCTTATTTTTATTTATTACATTTATTATTATTTTTAGCAGCAGTTTTCATTGAGCACTAGTGCCTTCCACAAACAAAAGGCATCCTTTCATTTGTGAAATAGTGAGAGAAACTTTCTGAATTCAACCTACTAGCAATATAGTTACAGGTAGTCCTCATTTAGCAATTGCCTTGTTTAGAACTGTTCACTGTTACCACTGTGATAAAAAAGGTAACTTTGCAACCAATCCTCACATTTATAACCTTTGCAGATCTGTAAAACAAAGGAAAGCTGATCATAAGCACAGTTGCAGTTTCATTTAGCAACCACTTCACCTAAGAACCCAGTTGCCAGGCCCAGTTGTGGTCACTAAATGAGGACTACTTGTACTCATTTTAGGATCTTTGATGGGAAAAAACCAAATGCTTTTCATTTCATCCAAGTGCTTTCAGGAGCTTTCATACCATGCTGCAAACATAGAATTATCAAACCTAAACCATTAAAGCAAATGACATCACCAAGAAGAGAAACTGCAAATTGCTTGGAAATCCTTTCCCATTTTAGCAAACTATGGGTGAATTGGGACTGCAATTCATGGAATTCCCACTGAATGTTCTGGAATTGCAATCCTAACACTATTGAAGGATGCTAAAGTGGGAAGAGCATGTCTACCATGTCACCACTTAACAACAAAAAGAAAAACAGAACTCAGTTGACTAGTGGATATGCAGATGATAACCAAGTCCATATTTACAAATAGAAAACAAAAACATTATTGTCTTTGTGATCACAACAAAATACAGGATAAATAACAGAGCCATGTATTCATTTGGTTCTATAATTTGTTGCTATAAAACACAATCTGTTAGCCACAACTATTCATCTGTCCAATACTTTTTTCCACAAGAACGTTTTTTTTTGGTCCAGAAGTCTATTTCTATTTGATTGCATTTGTTGATCTATTGGGTCTCTTTGAATGATTTCCCACAAATATGAAACAATTGCACATTTGAAAAAGTCCTGTAGCTTTAAAAATAAATATGTGTGGTTTTACCAATGAAACAGTCACACAAGCCCTCTGAGGGTTGTCAAATCTTCTTTATGCAGTGCAAAGGGAGGCAACACATTTATCCCTTCCTTATGTTATTTACACTTACCAAACCGCAATTATTATTTGTTTTTAAGCACAAAATCATGGAAAAAATAGTTCCAGCTCATTGAGTCAGTCTGTGAAGCAGAATTACGGGACAAAAGAAAGAACACTGAGCTGGACCGGACCAGACCAGATGTTCTGCCGTATTTCCAATATCAGAGTGCAGAGGCGGTGATGGAGTGACTACCTTCTCTGGCTGCTTGCATGCCCTTGAAAGCCAGTGAAGCTGGAATATCACAGTTGTGGGGTGAAAGAGGGGTGCCCCCAGCATGCTGCCAGCCGTGACTACCTACGTAGCCAGAAGGAGCAGCACTGTACGCCATATAAGGGGACACCTGGGCTGCTGCGGGATAAGGTGCCATGGTTGGTGCAGAGACAAAGCTTCCGACAGTTGGAAGGCAGCTTGGTGCCTAGAAAACAAGAAGAAAAGAGATGACCATTGTTGTTTGAAAAGAAAACAAGAATGAAGTATGTAAAAAGTCTTCATTAATGTAAGACTGATTTCAGATAAAAATTCAATTCTCCAAGGTAACAGTGAAGAGCCAAGAAGGTACAGTAAGGTAAAAACTTACCTTACTATACTTTCAAGTCAATTGTGGCTCCTGGCAACTCTATAGACAAATCTCTGCACTTTTCTTGGCAAGATTTCAGAAGAACCTCACCATTGCCTCCTTCCCAGGACTGAGAGGGAGTGACTGGACCAAGGTCACGCAGCAAGATTCATGCTTAAAGTGGCATAAATCCTACTCTTCCAATTTCTAATCCAGTGCCTTAACCACTACACCAAAATGGCTCTCTGGGTTCATTAAGTATCCCAAATGGAATTGGGTCAACATTTTCATACCCTGTTAAGAGATAAGCTTAAAAGCTTATTAAGGTTGACACAACTTCCCATCCTTCCCAGGTGGGTAAAATGAGGACCCAGATTGTTGGGGGCAATATGCTGACTCTGTAAACCACTTAGAGAGGGCTGTAAAGCACTGTGAAGTAGTATTTAAATCTAATGCTATTGCTATTATACATGCTCTTAAGGAATCTATATTGTTTCTTAAAAAAATGCCAAATCACCCTAGTTCTTCAAATCTTCAGTAGTGTGTTTTTAAACATTTTTCTATGACTACATATGAGGAGCCTAAGGCCATCGATTGCTAACCTCCTGATGTGAGAGGATGTCTTCTTTTTCACAAACTGAAATAAATCCTTTCTGTTTAATTGACTTTTCATCATACACTTTTTCTTTCTTAAACTTCCTATACAATCAACGTATTATGTAGCCCTCTATCCAAGTAATTCTGGCATACCTGCATCAGAACTTCTCGCATGAATTGCAGAATGTCTCATCGAAACTAGCACAATTATTCTGGCAGCAACAGCTGGGTAATGGTGGCTATTATTCCCTTACCTTATTGTGCCAGGTTAAGACCCTTTGTATGTTACAGAGCTTCTCCTTTGCCAATTCAACAGATTTCTGCTATGGGAAACTGGTTGCATTCCAGTACACAGTAGTGGGAAAGGCCAAAGGGAAAAAAAATCAACAACAATGCATCTCAGATTTTAAAATGTTTCTTTTCCAGATTCTTTTAACAGGGCATACCATACTCAAAGGCATCATTAGCATTGCTTGTGAAAACAATATAGGCCTGTGCTTTCATGTTTTCTCAAAGAATGGCCATAAAATTGCCCTCTGCCTTGCTCCTACAGAGCTCCATTTGACAAGCCAGATTTCAATTAATGAGAGCTGAGCAAGAACACTGCCGAGCTCATTTCTTTGGAATTTGAGCTGCAGAACTTTCCAATTGCTTTTCTGCCTTCAGAGCTAAGCACTGCTGGAAAAAATTTCCAATAGCATGAAATTTAATCCTCATAAATATTAAGATGTATATGCTGGGGGGGGGGGATAAAATATTCAGAACAAGGACATACAGCCATACACAACAACAACAAAAAATGGAGTGGACGGGGAGAAATTATTGTGTAGCATGCATTCAAGTGAGGATGCAGGCCATTCTGTAATGGTCTGAACAATGGACCTGCTTTATTTAAATGAATTACCATTCCTTGTGAATTCTACAAAAATATACCTAAGGCTGCTTCTTACCCAAAGCTAGTGGAGATTGCTAGCACTCACCACTTGTTATTCTATCCAGCAAACCTAACAAGCATCAATAATAGTCCTACACTTTTTTGAATTCTCACCTCATGGGGTATGAATAAAACAGACCCATTCAGCCGCTGAGTTGGTACCAGAACTACAGTTCTGTCTTGCAGCTGCTGCCTCAAGCAGACTTTCAGTCCATGGGCAGCTCCTGAAGTTTTCGCTTAAGACAACAAAGCCTTGTTCCATTGGGCCTTTTTAAAAAGATGCCTGAATGACAGAAGTAGTTTGCTATGCAGGATATGTGGGTGCTTTTAAAAAACTTACATTCACTTTGCTCCATCTAAATAATACTAAATCTCTCTATAATCACCAGGGCTGACATCTTGTGCCTGAGGCAAAGCAAAAAATGTTGCCCTCTCCCACCTCATTCACAATGCAGAAGCAACTGTTTGTACCTTACTTCAGCTCTTGAATAGGAGAACACACACACACACACACACACACACACACACACACAAATTCAAAGCTAGAGGGTAGATCATAGGCAGAGAGGGAATGGCTGGAGGGTTGTGAAAGAATGGCTGGAGGCCTCTTCTGTAATCCACAGCATCAGCCATCTGAGACAGTTGGATCATTCTGCCAGACAGGAGGGCTGGTTCTGCCAGTCACAACTTTGTTCCACTTCAGACATATTTTATGGGCATCCCCCTCACAAGTATGACCTCAAAAATGTTGCTAAATAATGCAAGGTATAAACTGGGAGAGACAAGTGGTAAAAATGATCTACACACTGGCCTACATAGGGTATTAGAATTCAACATTTCATTCAAATGACACTTTGGAGAATTGGCAAGTGCCATGGACATTTACATATTCACTTAAGGCGGATGCCGTTTGATTCAATGGGACTCACTCCCAAATAAACACACTTCCATTAGAACAACATCACTTGTCAGGAAAGTGATGCAGTGGCTAAGACACCGAGCTTGTCTATCAGAAAGGTTGGCAGTTCAGCGGTTTGAATCCCTAGCGTAATGGAGTGAGCTCCCATTATTTGTCCCAGCTTCTGCCAACCTAACAGTTTGAAAGCATGTAAAAGTGCAAGTAGAAAAATAGGGACCACCTTTGGTGGGAAGGTAACAGCGTTCCGTGCACCTTTGGCATTTAATCATGCCTGCCATATGACCAAGGAGATGTCTTCGGACAGCGCTGACTCTTCAATTTTGAAACAGAGATGAGCACTGCCCCCTAGAGCCAGGAACAACTAGCACATGTAGGAGGGGAACCTTTACCTTACTAGTCAGGAAAACATGAGCTATGCTTGTAATTTGGGCTACTTGGGTTAATAGAGAAGTTCAATCCCATTTGTTATGTTAAATGACTGTTTATACAAGAAGTACATTCAGTTGCGAATGAAGTGAAGGGGATTAAATTCCAGAACTCTCTATATATTGGACCAATAATTCATCTAGAGAATTTCAGTTGAAGGAAATGAATACCAAAATTCAAAATCAGGAGTTGAGAGAACCCTGTGGTGTTTATGGGTTTTGAAGGTACTTAGAAGTCTTTTCTTAAGTGCTGGGCTTTCAGAAACATTTTTTTAAGTTCTGTAAATATTCTACCATAATTGAAGCCATTGTTTATAAAAGGAAAGTGAATTATTGAAGATCTGTTAGGAGATGAATGGAATCTATAGTCCCTTTTTGCCCAATATCTAAGAAGCAAAATCCACAGGGGAGACATGTTGAATTGTTTCAGCTGCTCGGAATTAATGCTTTGTAGCAGTCCAAAGAAAGTGGAACTTCAGAAGAGAGAACAGTCTTCTCCTTTTTCATGGTTTGTCTGTTTAGCAAAATGCATTTTTACAATTTTGTTGCAGCTGACTCAACAGTCACAGTGCAAAGAGAACGGCCGTGGGAGTTACCCCACAATTATGCCAATTTAATCAAAGTAGAGAGAGGGCTCAAACCTGTAAACAGAATTAACATGAGTTAGGGTCCCCACCCATGCACATAAGCATTGTGTTAGAGAAACCGAAGGAACATCCATGTTTCTGCTGAAAACTGGGAATGACAGCTTTTCTGGCCATAAATTTAATGTATACATATATGTGTGGGGACCAAGATGGCACTAATAATTCAGCAATCAGTCACCGGATGCATTCACAATACTAATGTCATTGTAAATGCAACAGGTATATTTGTTCCACAGTTCTTACCACAAGGATCTCTTACAAGGTAAAATACCATGTGAAACAAGCGAGTGAGAAAAGATGGCAGGAAGAAGCAACAAAAAATACATCCCAAAACATGTGAGCTGTGCAGAGAGCCTTAAAGAATTATATCAGATAGTTGCATATAGGTTATCTAAGAGAGTCCTCTTCTAGACATAAGGGTTGGAAGAAGTCCTAGCATCAGAACTTGCTAGGCTGGCCAAATAACCCTCCCGTTCCCTTGGGGTTATTATCCAGAATTATCAGCAACAGATCGACCACTGCTATGCTTCCCTACCCAGCCTTCAGATGTACTTAGCAGCAGCAGAACATCTGGATGAAGGCAGTGGATTAAATATGCTTTTAAAGCAGTCACCATCTTACATTTTCTTCAGTTAGATATCTGATGTTGGGCGTTACATTTTCAGAAATCTAAGATGACAACACAGTGATCTTTAGTATTCAATGTTCTTGGGCATTCTCCTAAGATGTGGGTCCTAGCAAGCTTATCTTTTTTTTTTTTTTTTTTTTAATTGGGGATTTATATGCCGCCCTTTT